TTGACGGGGGCCAGGGGGAGGACGAGGAATTGTGTGAGAGGGGGTCGGGGGTTGAAGAGAGGGAAGAGGGGCGTGTACGTTTCCGTGAGCTGCCACTGATGAAATTCATGAACCGTTTCTTCTCGACGGCTTCAAACCTGTCGTGTCTTCTCTTGAAACAATCGTCACTCAAATCCTGACGGAAAAAGCAGCACACTTCAAACACAAATTTTGGGAGGATGCTGAAAAATTCTTCGTCTTCCAACCAATGTATTGTCAATACGAACACCACTATATTATATACAACCTAAACATACAAGAGTCACCCACCTCAATGTTTGTATTTTGGGTGGAGCTGGGGGCGTGGTCAGTGGGCGTGGCTTCAACCTGCCGCCATCCAGGGGTCATGACCTCCTTGTACTCTAGTTTTTCAAGTCTGGGGGAGAAAAAAGTAGTCACATGACTACTGGTTGAGGGAGAAAATTTGTGGTTAGAAAGTGAAAATGGGGGACTATACATTGGGACAACTAATCAATGAAAGTGAATTGGTGAATGCAGTATGCATTTTGGCCAAGTGGGAGAAATCCACCGCAAATATCAGCCAGTTTACGTTTGGAAAAATGCCTTTTTTTGGTACAATTAGTTCGATTTTCGTAAACAAAATTTTCTTGTATGCTGACACTTTGAGAGACAGTCATAATAAAAAAAAAAGGGAAAGATGGTTGTTATAGTGACCTGGTGGCAGCTGCAACCGAGTACGGTATGACTATGTTGTCAATGTCGTAGGAAGGGGCGTGGCTCAGTAGCCTCTTCTTTCGGGGAAGAGAGGGAGTGAGTGAGCGGACGGAGAGGAGTGGTGCAGATGTGAATGTACTGATGTGTGATGGACGAGCGAGAGAGACTGGGGGAGTACGGACAGACATCGATGCTCGACCTCTTCTGACCGGCAACTGTGGGGCAGCTGAGAGCGCGAGCACGTACTGAGAAGAGCTAGAGAGGGAAGGAGTACGAGACAAGGCGGGGAAATTTAAACCTAGTCAGATGTTAAATTTTATGTCAGTGGGAAAGTGATTTTAGTTCATTGTTCTTTCCCATGTTCATAACCTATGGCACACTATGCATTGGGTAACCTATAAAAAATATTCGCGGCTAAAAACTTAGTCTTAAATGAAGTGACAACTTACTCTTAGTTGGGGGGGTTTCGACATCGACTTCGGCTAATCCTGGGCTGGGAGAGAGGGAGGACACCCCTGGGGGAAGTAGTTAGTAAGGGAGAAAGAGAGAGAATGTTAGAGAGGGAGAAGGTTAGAGAGGGACAGCACACTCATAAGGGGACTGCAATACTGCCGAGCACCATGCATGCACTAAACACATTCACCGACTGGTGCAGTATATCGTATATACACGTATGTATGATGCAATAGGCGCGGCCAGAGAGAGATTATGAATAGTTGTGCCCACACAAGGAGAGGTTAAAATTGCTGGTGATTATGTGGAATATATATACAGTACATACTTACTGGCTCTGTTGCTGGAGAGAGTGGCTCTGTGACGTCTAAAAAATGGAGAGAGAGAGAGAGAGAGAGAGAGTAATTATTATTGCGAGAGAGCAAAAAATACGCAAACCCCCTCTAAACAATTTTGCTCCCCCCCACTCAGTCAGTATAATGTTAAACACCAACTAACTGCGCCACAATCAATGTGCTCCACCATTCAGAAATTCATTTACTTTACCTCTTGGGCTGCGGCATGGAGGCGTACGGATGGTCCCTCAGTACATGTTGGAGTCCTTCGTCAAGCCACACCCACGATGGCGTATCCCTCGGCAACACTGGTTTGGGGGTGTGGTTTGGACGCACCCTCTTCCTCCGTCGCAGTCTGACGATCTTTCGTTTCGGTTTCTTCAGCAGGCCACTGGAATGGAGTGAAAACATTCCTCCAGTAATTGCAATCCAAAACATTCCTCCAGTAATTGCAATTAAAAGCAATTAGGACAAATGACTTATCAAGACATTAATCAGGGCGCCTCACTTATCAATATGTTTATCAGGACGCCTCACTTATCAATATGTTTATCAGGACACCTCACTTATCAATGTGTTTATCAGGACACCTCACTTATCAATATGTTTATCAGGACACCTCACTTATCAATATGTTTATCAGGACGCTCAACTTAAATTAGGACACCTCAAAAAGGTGAAAAAGGGAGGGTTGCAGAGAGAGTGGGGGAAATTGGCAGATGTGAACGTCCCTCAGCCAAAGCTGCTCGCTACACGTCGCGACTGTACATGCATGTCAACGTGCACACAGAGTAATTAAAATGGGCAAACCCTGTCGTTTCCGTGCCAACTGACCGGGTACGGGCGCTAGTGTATCCTCCGATGTCGTCAAGGATAAACGACATTCCGCATAGGGGGGATGGGGACAGCAAATCTTTCACCTGAGGGGGGTGAGGGGGGGCAAAATTTTAACCTCACAGTTGCCCCCACAAGGGGGGTAAATTGTATACTACACAGCGGCCCCCTAACATGTGGAATCCAACAGCTTATCACGATAACAGCTGCCGTGAGTAATCAGTGCATTCCTGGTCTGGATCTGGTACCGGAATGAGACCCTCACCTGGATGGGTCCGTTGAGGATTCCGTCAGGGATCAGCAGGTGCGGGATCGAGGAGGTGTGGTTTGTGCCGTTCATGACCTTTGCCCTCTCGACCCCCGACCCCCAGAGGGCGGTGGGGTTTGTGAGGGGTCGCGCGGAGGTCGTGGGGGAGAGGACAAACGGCTCCTGTTTCGGCTGCTTCTGCACGGCGGCATCGAGGTGCGAAATCTGTCGGTTGATCGTGGCGATACGGTGACGAAGCCACGCCCACTGGGCTCCGATTGGTCCGCGAGATCTCTCCCAGCTTCGGCAGACGTCTCGGAGCCTGCAAAGAAGAGGAAAAAAACTTCGTTCATCGTTTTATACAACTTGCACCGTCTGTCAAAATTTCATTCTCAAAATTGTAGATGTAAGAAACAACCCGCCCAAAAAACAACGGCTACCTGTATACGTAAGGCCACCTTTGACCAATAATAGTATTCACGGTTCATGATAATGGAATTCATAGTTGAATGGGAGCGAATGTACTTCGACACAAGACCAACACTGCCGCTAATAGCCCACTGCATTCTTGGTACCATGGCACTGCTAATGCGTGTCCCGATCAACAACGGTGTCCTGATACCCCTGTCCTGAATATCATCACAATAGTACGGTGCCGTGGTGATGTCCTGATATCACTGTCCTAAACTAGATAAAGACACTACAACTAAGTGTCCTGATCAACAAACAGTGTCCTAATAAACCTGTCCTAAACATTCTCCCAACTTCAATATACACACTATTAACTATTATGCATCAAGGCCTATGCAACATTGTGTGCTCATCAACAGCATCCTGATAACGTCGCCCTAAAAATGAAATCGCCGTCCTCCGAACAGTAAAACGAGAGGCAAGAAGGCTGGGGCTGGCATGCAGACAGGAACACATGACTTGGTTCACTGCCAATTGATGACAAGTAGCTTACAACGTCGATTGCAACATTAGGACAGCACCTCCTGCAGGACGCAACAGCATCCGTCCCGCTAAACATGGTGTCCTGATTAGCAGAGGCGATAAATAATAACAACCCCGATTTAGCTGCTGCTGAAAAAGATATCCGATGTGTTTTATAAGGTGTCCTGATTAGCACGGATGATCAATAACGCACACGGCAAGACTTAGTTATGCAAGAAGTCTAGGCACCCCCAATGTATGTGCAATATGTATGGGACCTTCCAATTATACATAACTAAAGTCTTCAAGCAATGTTGTGATGCCAAAAGCCAGCTATGATGAAGGCAGTGTACATACATACAATGCATGATGAGAGCAATGACACTGGTCCAAGGGGAGAGTGTCAAGACAAGGGTTGCATCATTCTCTTGTGAGAGGTGCTGAGCAGGACCTCCTTTCAAAAGGGGGCATCTTACTATTGTGAAAATGAGGACCTTACATAGTTGTATGACAGACTGGTGTGTTAGCTTACACACAGACATGCATACACGCTCTGAAATAACAGGAGCAAACCACATTGAGAAAGGAGGGAGAGAGAGAGAGAGTAAAATAAATGGGGAAGGTGAAAGAAAAAGAGAGGGGAAGAAAAAAGGGAAGGGAGGAGAAACCGTGTCAATGAGTATACCAGGGAACTTGGCAATAGGGGTGAGTCGTTTATACGTGCATACAAGACTGCATTAGTGCCAATATCCGCTTACAATACCTCTTTTGACGGCCACTGAAGCGCACAGGGTCTCCTTCCTCGTCGCTAGAGGTGTCGGTTACATCACCACCGGCACCAGGGTCACAAATCTCCCCTCCTCCCCCCACTCCCGTGCAGGCTCCACGCAGCTGCTGCCGCCATCTCTCCACGACCTCGCTTCTCCCGTCCGACCCGTCCAACTCGCCTGACCGGTTCTTGAGAAACTGGCCGAGAGACGACCAATCTGGGCTGCTGCCTAGGAGGGGCGAGTTTTTGTAAGTGGACCCCTTCGATTCTAAGGGGTCTGAGACACTCTTGGTTGAATTTTCGACAACGTCGTTGATTGCTGTTGGTGATGTGTCACGTTTTGATTGGTCGGCAGTGTCACAGGATTCAAATTTCAGGCTGCGTGCAACGGATATGCGGTCAACGCAGATGTCTTCTACTGCCCCGTCCACCTGCATGGGTATCGATGCCGCCCGAGAAATTAACCCTCTTCCCTCTCCTTCCTCCTTTCTCTGCTCCCCTTCTTTTGCCGCGACAGCTGCGTACGAGAGTTGGGAGTGCACATGTCGGCAAACTCCCCGCCCCTGTCTCCCTCTCACTCGATCGTGGAGCCTCCGCAGACGATCGTCGAGCGACAGCTGCCGTCGAAGAACCCTGTCTGCTCGAGAGGTGAGGATTCCAGATGTGTACGAGAGAGCGACTTGCGGACAAACACTTTGCTCTCCATCCTCTCTCGCTTCTTCGCAACTCGTCGCCCCGGTGTCTTCGCTCCCGGTGGGTTGAGCAAGTGTCCGAATGGATGTCCGGACTGGGGCGGGCTCTCCGCGAACGGCGTCGTCGTCCGCGGACGAAGGCGAGTGGTGATTTTGAGGGGCGGGCGGCGGCGGGGAAGGGGACGCGCGGTGAACGACCGCGTTTGAAGGTCTAGGATGGGGAGTCTTGACTAAAATGAGGTGGGGCACTCCGCCGTTTTGTAGCGTCTTCCCTGAGACCTTTGCTTTCGCCTCTTTCCCCGGTTCTCGAGTCGTCGGCGCCGACTTTCCACGGACAACGTGCGGAGAGTTGGCCACGCTCACCATCTTTGTTTCGCTACTACCCCGGCCTTCTTGCTGGGAGTCGCTAGGGTACTGCGAAGGCATATACGCGGAGACTAACCTGGGCCAGAGCACGGGTGGTTCCACACGCGCATAGCTTTCTTCTCGCTCGCCCCTTCTCTCTCTCCCTATCTCTGCCCGTATCGAAGAGATGCAACGGCAAAGCTTTTCCTGTCCCTCGCTCACTGGTTGAATCGAAGATCGACGCTCGAGATGCGTCGTAGACACGTCTTTTCAGGGGCAGTAGCGGTTCTTCAGCGTACAGGCGGCGGCTGTAAAGCGTCCGGCGCGGCCCTGTCTCCTTCGCTTAGCACGGAGAATCAGACTTGCTGGGCCGACTCCTGGGAAAGACGGCCGTGTGAAGTAGCTCGGGATCTCTTTCGCGCTCCAGCCGTGACCAGCGCTCCGAGACCAGCAGCCATTCAGTTTACTCCACTGCAAAAACGCTTCCTACTCTGCCATGTGCCGTAGTTGATTGCGCCCGCGGTTCGCCGCTCCATATTAGGAAGTCGCGGGGCCGAAATTTATAGGAGCCCGCGCGTAAGTCATGTGACCCCCGACCATTACGTGATCTATCACGAGACCATCCGTGACGTAGTTTTGAAAGCTCCCAAAAACGGATCTCTTCACCCAGCAGTTTTTTTTACAGAATCTTAGGCTATCGGGATAGAATTCGTTGTGCGGCAGGGAGTGAAGAGAGAGGGGAGACATCATGGCTGCTCACTATCTGCTCGCGGTGCCTTCAAAGGCGACAAAGAGCGTGGATTTCGGCGCGCCGTTCAACCGCTTCGTGGCCAACAACTATGACGAGCAGCCGAGCCGATACCAGGACGCCATCACGGAGTTTCAGGGGCTCCGCGAGGCCACTGTCGTCAAGAGCCCCGACCGTCACGAGACGGGGCTGGACCTCATCACACGGTGAGCTAGCCGAGGGAGAAGAGAGATATGAGAGAGGTCGTTCGGGGTGGGGCTCTGTTTTAGTGGGGATTTGTGCATGGGTGCAGATTTTGTAGTATAATATAACTGTTTGGCCATTGACGAAAGCATGAGCTGTTTTTCGTTAAACGATCAGCTATCATTTCTGATTTCCGTTTTTCGTCAATGTTTTGATGACTCTCCCTTCCGCCTCTTTCCTCCATCCCTCCTTCCTTCTTTCTCTCGCAACTCTGCAGTTACTATGATCAGCTAGTGGCCATGGAAAACAAACTTCCCATAGCTGAAGGACAGGTAATATGTTGTTCCTGCATACATAAAGAGCTCTGGGCTTTCACAGCATGCACCTAGTAAATGCATGTGAATGATGACATCATTGTCAGTGGGGATCACATGACTCCTAATAGACACTAAACCCACAGTTCCAATTTTGACCCGCTCTAATTGATGCACACCTTCACTACGGCGATTATCCCCAGATCAGCGTAAAGCTTCACTGGACGGATGCCTTTGCCAGAGGCGGTCTTTTTGGTGGGAAGAAAGAAGCAGGTATGCCTCCTCTCTCTCTCCTTACTCCCTCTACATTCAGAAGCCGTCTTTTTTTAACCTTGTTTTATCCTTCCTCAAACCTCTCCCTCCCTCCCCTCTCTCTCCCTCTTCCCCTCGCAGGACAAGTGTCTAGTGTCTACGAAAGATGCTGCGTACTCTTCAACGTGGGTTCACTGCAGAGTCAGATTGGGAAATCTCAGAATTTCGACAACGACGACGGACTCAAGAATGCCGCTAGACATTTCCAAGTTAGTTGTCTTCTTCCCTCCCCTCTCTACTTCATTTGCTCCCTCCTTCTCCCTTGAACTACTATATACATACACTCTCTGTCTGTACATTGTATGGGATCTAGCGATATATGGCTTGATTCTATATTCCTTATTCCATAATTGTACTGTTACACGACATTATGCATTAGCACAATGGCTCCACATTTATGGCCAGACATCTCACAGGTGTTTTAACCACTTTACCACTGTGCACACTTTAACTCCTTGACCACTGAGTGCAATATCATTTGTCAACTGAATATAATTTACTATTTAGCGCTTACATATATAGCACAACTTTAACTCCTTTGCCACTGAATTCCCCCCATCCCAGGGTGCGGCAGGGACATTTCAGCTGCTTCAAGAGCAGGTGTTTGCCCACCTCCAGCGAGCTCCGACCCCTGACCTCTCGGCGGAGTCGACGACGGCTCTCATGCAGCTCATGTTGGCTCAGGCTCAGGAGAGTTTCTGTATCAAAGCATGTAAAGGTATTATAATCCCTAGCAAGCACTATACAGTCATGTGACAACTGCCAAATTCCCTCTCATTTTCCGTTGTGTCTCCATGTTTTTGCTCATTTTCCCCTCCTCTCCCTCCCTCCTCTCCTCCCTCCTCTCCCTCCCTCCCTCCTTGTCCATGTGTACATTCTCTCTGTCATTGTTCTCAACCTTCTCTCTCCCTCCTTACCATCGTACATAATAGACCGGATCAAGGACATGTTGATAGCCAAGATTGCCATGCAGTGCAGCGATCTGTATGCAGAAGCTTACAGCAACATGCAAGTTGGCACGGTCAAGGCCATGTGGGAGAAAGTGAGGCTTGTTACAGTATATATACACCTTCATTGTGATTATCCCCTCTGCTTCCTTCCTCTCCTCTCTCAGCCCTCCCTCCCTCCCTCCCTCCCTCCCTTCTTCCTTTGCCAGTTGGCTGTGGTCCTATTGTGTGTATGTAGTGGTTGGGGAAAAACAAACTAAGGTTGAGGGTTTTCTGTCCTTAACAAAACCTCTCTGTTTTTGTAGCCATTCACTCACACCCACTCAGGTGTTACTCCCTCCTACCTTCCTTCTCTCCCTTCTTCCTTTCCTCCCCTCCTTCCTCCCTCTCCTCTTTCTCTGGGCCCCTTACTGTCTCCTTTCTTTCTCCTCTCCCTCTCTCTCTCTCCCCCCCCCCTCTCTCTCTCTCTTCCTCCCTCTCCCTCTCTCCTTTCTGTTTCAACCCCCTCCTCCACTCCCCCTACCTCAGAGCTGGCTTGCCACAGCCTCAGCCAAGACAGCATACTTCCACTGTGTGGCTCAGCACAGATTGGGCCTAGTGGCCCAGGCGGGGAAAAATTACGGAGAGGCCGTGGCTCGCATGAAGAAAGCAGTGGAACTGCTGGGAGAGGCTGAAAAGAAAGGCGAAGGAGTCTTCAAGCCTTACGTACGTCTCCTTAGTTCAGTAATCTCTAGTGTATCCTTGTACATTTCAGTAATCTCTAGTGTATCCTTGTATACTCTCGATTCTTACATCTTATACAGTAACCCCATTTAGTACACTCAGTGTAAATTCTAGTATTCCCTCTGTATACTCTCCAGATTCTCGGTATATTCTTGTAAACTAACGTACACTTTAGGAGGTGACCCAGACGGTGAAGAAAGACTTCGAGGCGGCCAACAAGGACAACAACTTTATCTACAACGATCTCGTTCCTGACTTTGGAACGTTGGAGCCACCGGGGAAGGCCACTCTCGCAAAACCTCTCCCGTTCACCTCCCCGGCACCCAACTTCATCGACCTGTTTGCCAACCTTGTCCCCCTGGCAGTCTCGCAAGCTCTTCAGGTATGGACCATTTTTCGTCAGTCAAATCGTCGCTTTAGACAAAAGTCTGACCCAAAGTCGTGTCTATTGAGTGAATGTGTGGGAGTTTAATAATCGTGTGTGTCTGTGTTGCAGGCATATGGGACCAAGAAGGACGATCTTGTTAACACCGAGTGCGAGAGGCTACGAGGTGCCACTGCTGAACTGAACGAGTAAGCCCCTCTCTCTTCTTTCAATTTTAACATCTCCTTACTTTTTCCGTTCTTGCTCTCACTCTTTCTCTCTCTCTGAAAAGGCTCCTGGCCTCCAAGAACCTGCCGGCTGCCATAGAGGACACAGGCGGTGACTCGCTCCCTGAGTCACTCCAGGTAACCACCACGGGCAGCTGCTTTCTCACTCACAAATTGCCTCTGCGTGTGTATGTGTGTACAATGGGCTAATGGTATTCATAGCAAAGTGGAACAAACAGATTCATAGCCAAATCCTAGTGTACATTGCTCTTCACTGGGAGTGTCCTTGTTGTTATTGACATTGAGGGCGTGTATTAAACCACAGAAATCCCCCAACTATAATTAACTATTGGCATGTGGGGAACATACACTAAAGCTCTCTCGAGGGGGAAAAAACTAGCTAGTTTCTCTGCCATTTTCTTGCCCTCCTCAGGAGAAAGCGGCAGCAGTGGCTGAAGCTGGCGGTGCCAGAGCTCTGGAAGAGAAGTTGAACGCTGTGCCAGAGGTATGTGTATAATACGTCTTTTGGGACTCGTAATTTCATGTATTATAATGTACACATAACTATAGCCTCTGATGTGGGCGATATGTCTACACGATTGTTGTCTTTTGGAGTCTAAATCTACATACACCTGTGTAACTAGCCACCACAGATTGTGTGTACACGAGTGTCTCGGTGTGTTTTTATTGCCTCGTAAGAATTGAGTTAGTGGGAGGATATAATGGCAGTTCAAGTTTCATGAGCCAATATTATTGTAACTAACGTTCATGAGCCAATATGATTTACAGAGGTTTTACGAGTCTTTACAAATTATACTGTATACACACACATGTACATTATGTACCTGTAGCTGTATAATAATTATACCTACTAAATCTATGGTGAATTTTACATATTTTCTTCACAAATTTTTTTTTCTTTTTACTGACTGTATTCGTGTGTGCATGTATAATTATGTATGCTGATGAGGCCAGAAACAGCTGTCCAGAGCTCCCCATCCTTTTTCTCTTGGCATCACATGGTGTTTTCTATACATGCAACAGCTGGTTCAGCGGAACCGAGAGATTCTGACGGAGACTGTGAGGATGATGGACGAGGAGGAGAGGGAGGACAGCGAGCTGAGGTCAAGGTTCAGGGAGAAATGGTCCCGACAGCCTTCCGCCAGTCTCGCAGAGAACCTGAGGAAAGAGGTAGACCTAGAGAGGTAGTAGTAGAGGTAGTGGACCCTTCTTTCTCTCCCTGTCTTCTTCTCTCTCTATTTCCACTTTTCCCCTTCTTCCCCATACTACGTAACTTCCCTTTTTGAAATTGACAGTTTTATTACAGGTTGTCCTGCATTTGAGATTTTCATTTCTTTTTTGTGATCGCTCTCTCTCTCTCTCTCTCCCTCCCTCTCTCTCTCTCTCGTCTCCGTTAGGTCACCAAGTATAAGACGATCCTGGACACGGCCAGTGGGGCAGATCAGACGGTTCGCCAGAAGTTTGAGTCCCACAGAGAGGCCGTCGTCCTCCTGGGTAAGCAGGTGGCGGAGATCCAGGCAGCTGTCCCGAAGGCCGGGGCCCTCTCTCCTCGAGTCCAGGGCAGCCAGGTACGCCATCCGTGTATACATGTACATATGTAGGTTCCTCAAGTTGTGGCAGTCTTTTCGCTACCAGATGGAATACGCGGCAGTAGGAATGTTGCCAAAGATAATAGGGCTCAGCATTTAACCATTTTCACTAACAGTTTCTCAATTTAGGCCATAATTATTATACCTTTATAATCCATTATCTCATTATGCACATTATCCGTCATTCCCTCCCCCTCTCTCGCTCAGTGTGTCCAAGACCTGCGGGGTCTAATGGAGGAGGTGATGACACTAAAAGCTGAGAGAGAGGTCATCGAGAGAACTCTCAGGGAGAACATCGCCGACATCAGTAAGACAATCACCACGATGTAATCCCTATGATGTAATCACGTGTAACCTTAATGATGTTGTCGTGATGTAATCCTCCTCCAGCCGGCAAGTTTCTCAAGGCGCTGAAAGACTTTGGTGACGTAGACGAGGAGACGATTTCCGAGGCCCACCTTCGCACGGAGTACGGTTCGGTGCAGACTCAGGTCCAGGAGTCCATTGGCAAACAGCCGGGGCTTGTTCAGAGGATTGCGGCTGCGAGTGCTCAGTTTGAGCAGCTGACTGGCGGGCAGAGCGTCGGGGAGCGCGAGGGCAAGTTGAAGGAACTGGCGACTGGCTACGACGCCTTCCAGCAACTGCAGAGCAACATCACGGAGGGTATAAAGGTCAGTTGTAGGGAGTGTGTTTTATGTTGGATGTGGTGACCTTCACTTTTAACATTTCGCTGTCTCTCCCTCCTACACACACCTCACCCCTTCTCTCTTACCTTCCTCTCACCATCCCTCTCTCTCTCTGTCTCTCTCTCTCTCAACAGTTCTACAATGACCTCACTCCGCTACTGGTCCGAGTGCAGAGCAAGATCAGCGACTTTGTCTTTGCCAGACGCACCGAGAAAGACGACCTCCTCAAGTAAAGGAGCCTCACACTAATTATGACAGTGACCCCCCAAATATAGGACACCTCCGTAAAGAACGTTTGGTTTTTGCCCCATCCTATTAATGTATTATTACCCTTGAATAAGGGACACCCTCCAATTAAAGGACACCTGTAAGAAGTTTGCCTCATACTAATACTGCATTAGTGTATTATAATATTACCTCAGAATTAAGGACACACCTGTTTCAAGGACACTGGTTCTGCCCCATACTAGTAGGTCCGAATAAGGGACACCTCTGGATAAAGGACACTTTCAATGTCCCCAAAGTGACCTACTCCGGGGTTTTTGCGTACATACATTACTTTACGCAGAGATCTGCAGAAGACGATAGCTAACCAGCCTTACGTGGCACCACCGGAGAACCCGCAGTACCAACAGCAGTCAAGGCAACCCCCACAACGACCCCCGCCCCCACAAGCTGCACCTCGTCCCCCGCCCCCCCAACAGATGGCTCCGCCTACTGCCCCACCCCATGCTAGTGGGGCCCCGCCTCCTCATCAGATGGGCGGTCATCCCTACCATCCCCAAATGCCTCCAGCTCAGAGTGAGAGATACTGTCACTTATAAATCAGCGCGGTGCAACACTTTTTAAAGAATAACTCTTTCAGTGACCATTTCGCAGGAAAAAAACATGCAGTTTCAAAATTGAGGTCCACCAAATTTTTCAAGTCCAGGGCAATTTTTTAGGTGAAACTTTAAAAAAATTTGCAAAAGTTTTATTACTCAGTAGGGAATGATCGATAGTGTATTAATTACTCACCCTATTATCCTTGGGGTCCCTGGACCCATAATACGCCACTTTTCACAAAATCGCTCACGGTGCAGAAAGCCATGTGAGATGTGGAGCACTCTGTATGTGCAATGCAATGTCATAGTGCTCTTTGTTCTGTGGTTCCATCGAGAGCTAATTCTCATTGAACAGTTGGCCACTGTGTAGACAAGAAATGGAATTTTAGTGAGCATTCTCTGTAATACTATCAGAGATATGCAATTAGCTGTGGTTGTCAGCACAGCCCTGGCTGGCACAGCAGTAAACAACGTAGTCAAGGTCTCTTCTGTTCCTCCCGTTCACTCTTTCCAGGCTATCAGCCGTACGCTCCGTACGGGGCCCCACCTCCCCAGCCACACCCGGGCTATTACCAGCAACCGCCACCAGGGCCCTACTACGCTCCGCATCCAGGTGCTCCGTATGGTCAGCCCCCCCACCCTGGAATGTACGGGAACCCTCCCGCCCCCTACGGCCAACCCCCTCCAGGTCTGCAAAATTAGAGTGGAACCCCTCTTATTATTGACAGAATAAAGTGTCCATGACAGTGAGGTGTTCTCATTAATTGTTCTTGGGAAAGGAAGTGTCCTTATTAGAGGGGTGTCCCCATTTCAGAGGTTCCTTAGAGAAGATGGAACTAATCTCGAGAGAGAAAGAGTAAAGTGTCTCTATTAGCGTTTTCAGTTTGTGTTGGGTGGTGTCCTCATTTCAGGGGTGCTACTTTCACTGATCACTGATTATCTATCTCTCTCCTCTACAGGGCAGTACCATCCGCAACAGCCTTACCGGCCACCACCATCCCATCGCTAGCTATATCACGTGACAGTCATGTGACTGCTGGTCTTGAAACTCAAATAGTTGTCGATAATATGTGTTCATTACTTGATTGTTTATGATGCTGTGCATTGCACACGTTTGATTTTTTGACCATATTAAAGTCAACACCACGCTTCACATTTGGTTGCCTGATTTTACCACGCTTGGTTAGTGGTGCAAAATCTGTGCCTATATACTGATTTGACACATAACTCATTCCTTCATGTTGCAATTTAGCCCCTGGGGAATCTATATTATAGCTATATATGTATATACCACTGGTGGGCTAATCTATATCGACTCTATAAACATTCCGTATAGCCTGTATAAACAGTCTACTCAGCTTCTTGCAATGGTGTGATGCGGAAAATATTTTTGGCGGGACAAAAGGCGGATACAAAACACATGCGATGCAATGAGGGAATGAAGAAGGGAGAGAAGAGTACAATGAAAGCACATGAGGTGGCGAGTTAACACGAGGGAAGGGAGAAGGGAGAGAGAGAGAAGGTAAGTTGTTGACGAGAATCTCTATTATTCTCCGGTGTTTTCGACAGGTTGAGTCTGATTTGATCCCTCCTCCCTCAGCGTCCTCAGCTCAGCTCGCAGCTGGAGACACAGCTTCACAAGCTCCTCTCGACTCAGCCCCCGCAGCTCCTCTTCCTCTATCTCCGCCACTACCTTCTCGTAGTCCGCCACCACCATGTCGTAGTCGCGGTTCCAGAACACCCCGCTCTCCACCCCACTCTCCCCCGGGCTCTCCAGCCCTCCCTCGTCCGAAGCCGAACCACTCCCGAGCGATAACGTTCGAGATACGGAGTCCAGCTTGAATTCACCACAGCCCGCGTCCTCCATTAGGAACTGGGTCGTGTTCCAAGGAGCGGCCGGTTTATTTTGTTTATTTTCTATTATTTGTTGTATTTTATCTCTTTTCTTTTATTTCCTTTATTTATTTTATTTCCCATAAGCTCCACGCTCCCTCTTGGCGGCGCGCGCGGCTTCACGTGACTCGGCCTGCTGTCGCTCCTCGGGCGTCATTTTGGAGTAGGGTTTCCAGCGTCGCCGGTGCTTGCCACGTCTGTGTCGCCGTTTTCTGGCCGGCGTCGTCTGGTCCTCGGTGCCGCGCTCGCCCCCGCTGCTGGAGCCAGAGCGCTGGCTGGCTTCGCTCTCTCTCCGATTGTGCTTCGTGTCTTCCGTCTCGCTCATGCTGCCTAGTTTCGTCTGAAAAGCTGCAAGGCCGTGACACATAGTTCGCCGCAGGACGACGGTGGGTTCTACAGATTTCGCCGGTATTCTCTCTGAAAAGTAACGGGAGAACAACCAACGCGCGCTTGGAGCGTCTCAAAAAACAATGGAGACTGCGGGCCGACCGCTTGTTTTTATACTGCAAGACGGCGCGCGCGACGGATACAACGTTGGCCGCACGTCGTATTTTACGTCATGATCATGTATATGCTGATTGGCAAACGGACAAACTACGCCCAAAATCGTAATGATGTCGTTCACACCGGATACGACGTTTAGTAAACGTTCATGCCAACAAGATGTCATCATTTTCGGGTGATTGTGTTAATTTGCTGTCCTTTGATGTGTTCCCATGCCTGGTCCAGTTCTTGTGTTAGAGAGTCTCTTTGCTGAGCCAGCTGCTCCTAGAGAGACAAAGAACAAAGTGTTTCTTTGCTCCACTCTTGCTGGCTTACTTGAATGTTTGGAGTGGGCTCAAGACCTTGCGTGTACGCACATTTCCATCCCCTCCCGTCTCTCATCGCGGTACGCTGCAGACCACGCCCTTGCTGGAGAAGCCGTAGCAATCGCTTTGTCGCTGACCACACCC